GGTTCTCTGTCTTCAGGGGTGGGAACCCTTTTCTGCCAAGGGCCATTTGGATACTTATAACATCATTCACGGGCCATACAAAATTATCAACTTAAAAACTAGCCTGCTGTAGTTGGTCAAACATTTAATTAACTCGCCCCTAATGCCCTGGGCAGGGCCAGACCAGATGATTTCATGGGCCTGATACTGCCCTCAGGCTGGATGCTCCCCACCCCTGGTGTAGGAGGAAAAATGAAGACCGGAAGCTGGTGGACTGAAAAATGGGAGGAGTTAAGGGACCTTACATTCTGTTTATAGTCAAGATAGGTATAATGAGGGAGTTCAGGGCAAGGGGAGTTCCGAGGCCAGGAGACAGGACTGAAGTCAGGTTTGACTGCGTCAGTGAGTGGTGAAGATGGGTCAGTTTCGGCCCTCCTTTATAACTGTGCTCTTAATTACTATGTTAAATCACCCACTAAACTGTATTGACTCATCAGTTGTTTCAGGCGACCTAGTGCCATGAACAAAATCCTCTAGTCCACTTGCTTGCCATTTTGTTTGGTGACTTCCACGTACAAACCAGTGACCAACTGGTTTGAATTTTGTCTTTGTTATTTACTAATTTGGGACCTTGAGCAAATAATTTAGCTTCAGTGTTTTGTGACCTATCTCATAGGTTACTGTGATAGTTAAATGAGGTTATATATATAGTTCTTAGCATAGACCTTAGCACATGGTGAACCGTAGCTCTGGATGTTATTGGTGTAGTGGTAGATTCTAGAGATCATTATAACCCTTAATTTTAGAATTCAAGGCATAGAGAGGTTGAGTTATACCTCAAACCCAGAGCCAGTTAGTTGGTTCCTGAAAGGAGCGTGAATGCCAGGCATCTTGTTCATTGTTCTTTCCATGACAGGCTGCTGCTTCTGAAAGAAAAGACAAGAACACCCATCTCATTTTTTAAAATTATAAAATCTGTGTACATGCTTCAAGGAATATACCAAAAACTGGTTAAAGGCTAATGGAAACTGAAAAGCACTTCCATTTCAGTTATTATTAGTTACTCTCTATTTAACAGTGAATTTTTTCTCTTCATTTTTTCTTAAATCATAGTTTTTAATCCTTGTGACAGGTTCCAACTAGCAAGAATTTAACCTGATTATAAGCTTGAGAAATTGGGTTATATAGTAGCCTAAAAATCTTGCTTGTTACTTACCTGAATCTGGGTTTAAAATGCCAAGAAGAAATTCAAATTGGGACCTTTTGAGCCTGCTTATTGATTCAGTTCATTTAGACACAAAAAGCCAGTATTCCAGAGCAATGCTGATATTTTAAGAGTGTCAAAAAATTTTAACATATTTTTATTGATTTCAGAGAGGGAGAGAAAGAAACATCAATGATGAGAGAGAGAATCATTAATTGGGTGTCTCCTGCATGCGCCCTACTGGGGTTCAAGCCCACAACCTGGGATGGTTCAGTCCTCAGACCAACACTCTTATCCACTGAGCCAAATCAACTAGGACAGAGAGTTAAATTTTTAAAAGTTAATAAAAGAAGTATCCTTCTGAGCCGGTGATGGATTCGAATAACATAAAAATAACATATAAAAGGTTTGTGGTGGCTGATGTTAAACAGACACGTAGCATTTACTCTCTCTCAGTAAAACTAGCTGAGGTAAAAATAAAAAAGGGTATATACTTTGATGAGCCACTAAAAACTGATTGAGCATGCTTGCAGCTGCAACTCCATGGTATTATGTAAATTAAGCTATGGCAAAGCATCTGTTTTCTAATGTTTCTGCTATCAAATGATACACAAAATAGGTCTACAAATCTGCTATCAAATGATACACAAAATAGGTCTACAATAAGCACAAACAGCTTAACAAGATATATTCACATGATATAAGACTTTATGTGGCAGGGGTAGGGAGTGGTTGTGTGGACATGAATTCCTTAACAGAAGAATTCTTATCAACAAAATTGTAATATGGATATTCTAATGTTCTTATATTAGCTGCTCCTGTTTGAAACTCTTGATTAGAGCTGTGTTTTCTAATCTTTTTAATGCTCAAAGCTCTCTTTTATTTTTTAAAATTTATCTTTATTGTTGAAAGTATTTTAGATGTCCCCCTTTTTTCCCCATTGACTCTCTCCACCCGCTCCACCCACCCCCAGGCCTTCACTGCACTATTCACTGTGTCCAGGGGTTATGCATATATACATACAAGTTCTTTGGTTAATTTCTTCCCGCCGCTTTCCCCCTTCACTCTGGGAGCCATCACGATTCTCTTTTAAATTTTCTCCCAACTAACCCCATATTTTGAAAAAGTTATCTGCCACATAAGCTGCATACCTTATTAATAAGTCACTTTTTCTCTTTTTAAATTAAGTGTGTGTGTGTTTGACTGTTGTATGAGCTTCTGAATAGAAGATAGTCCACATGAGTGCTATCACAGTTGATAAAGTTTCAACTAAAAGTAAAGAAACTTGACAGTTTATCTGTCCTGTACAGTCTTGTAGGTAAATGTTTTATTTCTGTTCATTTAAAAAATATATTCATAAATCACACCCTGATAAATGTTTTCGTGCATTGTTAGGACCTTAAAACAACATTGGGTAAGAGAACTACCAAAATAAGTTCTATAGCCAGAGTTTCATTGTCTATAACAGAACTGCTCATCTATAATAATCTAATCTAATCAAAGAGAAACATGGTAATTGGCGTACGACCGCTACCCTTCCCATTGGCTAATCAGGGATGATATGCAAATTAACTGACAGCCAAGATGGCGGCCGGCAGCCAGGCAGCTTGAAACTGACATGAGGCTTGCTTGCTTCAGTGACAGAGGACTCCAATGTTCCCCGCGTGCCGCTGCCGGCCTCTGAGCTTGACTTTAAGAAACAATGTTGCAATTATAGAAGCTAAATAAACCCCAGAAACCTGCTTTCAGCCAGCCGGGCCTCAGAGCTGGAGTTGAAACAGTGTTTCAATTATAGAACACAAACAAACCCAGAGACCTGCTTTCAGCAGACGAGGTCTCAGAGCTGGAGCCGAGCCAGGACACCCTTCAGGGCAAACCAGCCAGCCCCACCCATGCACCAGGCCTCTATCCTATATAGTAGAAGGGTAATATGCCTCCCAGCACCGGGATCAGTGGAGCCGCAAGACCTCCTGGCACTGGGATCAGCATGACAGGGGGCAGTGCCCAAACCCCCTGATCACCCTGCAGCTCTGTGTGTGACAGGGGGCAGGGCCACAACCTCCCTATTTGCCCTGCTCTCTTCCTGACAGGGGAAGGCGCCCCAACCCCCTGATCAGCCCTGCTCTGTGCCTGATTGGGGGGAGCTCCCCAACCCCCTGATCACCCTGCGGCTCTGTGTGTGACAGTGTGCAGTGCCCCAAGGCCCTGATCGGCCCTGCTCTGCGTGTGACAGGATGCGGCGCCCCAACCCGATAGGGAAAAATACTAGGAATTCTTAAAATTCAATAAGAAAAAAGCACCATCAGTAGGAAAACAATAGACAAGCAACTTAAGCAGACTTTTTAGAGGAGAATATACAAATGGCCAATAAACATGTAAAAATATGCTCAACTTCAATAATAGTATGTCAATGACAATTAAAACCACAGTGCAAAGGAGAGCTGGGCACACAGTCAGGAAGAACAAAGACAAGGTAGAATGCACCTGCCCCTCAGCGTCTTTCTTTCACCACAGGAAACCTTTAGTGTCATGCCTAAGGCTTTCCTTCCACCTCCCAGACCTCATGCTGCTTTACTTTTGGTGAATTTTAACCAGGAGCCACATGGTTCCCAATATAAACAGATTGACAATGGAACAATCCAGCACCATTAACTATGATAACACACTCACCATATTTGCTAAAATGAAAGAAGTCTGGTGATATCATGCTGTAGCACAACTGGAATTGCTGGCAAGAATGTAAATTGGTAGAACTTCATTGGAAACTTTGGCATTTTTTACTGAAGTTAAAAATGGGACCAGGAGTCTTACACCTTCACCCTTGAATGCTTCCAAAATTCATGTGTTCGATATCGGTCTTAGAGCTTTATCAGCATCTAGTTTGTCTGCTGTACCAGCCAAATCCTATTTTATTTAATACCTCAAGCCTACCTGCCTTAAAAAATAATTTAGAAATAGGCAATCTTACATGAAAATAGAGGCAAGTGACGCATTTATTCTCCCCTTTTCATTCTTGAGCATAGTTTTTCCTCTATGTGATCATCAGGTAGACTCATGTGACTCTTCAAATACATCTGATATATTTAAAGTATCTTTCATTATTGGCTTTTAAGGCCTTGTAAAATATTGTTTGAATTCTTTCTTGGAAAACATAGTAGCTAGCCACATGGCATATTACATGTGGCTCCCTTCTTCACAATTGGATAATCTTTCCATTTTAAAAAAATGACTTTTCTTAAATGATAACCTTTATAAGATGGTAGCCTTCTTCACATTTCAGAGACTGGGGATGTATGCTCATGTGTATCTTTCCCCAGGATCTCAGAAGTCCATGTATGCTTTAAACTAGAGTGCTATTCCATGTGGTTTGCATGGATTAAATTGGTCTAACCCTCACAACAACCCTGCAAAGTACATAATGTTACTTCTCCCATTTGGCAGGTGAGGAAACTAGTACGGAGAGATTAAATAACTCACATAAGATTAAATACTGTAGCTCATCCACCTGTTCAGTGGGCCTGTGGGATCCGATCGTAAGCAGCCTGCTTTCTAGAGTCCACATTCTTTTTTGTTTTGTAGTGAGAGTGGGAGTGAGGAAAGGGAGAGACAGAGAGAGAGAAACATCATGTGAGAGAGACACATCAGTTGGTTGCCTCCCACTCATGCCCTGTCCAGGGTCAGGGAATCGAGCCTGCAACCAAGGTATGTGTCCTTGACCAGAATTGAACCCCAAGCTGAGACCCCCTCAGTCCCCAGCCCAGCGCTGTAACCACCGAACCAAACTGGCTATTAATTGCCATTCCTGTGGCTTATCCAGAGTTGAGGTTTAGTAATGTGGACATCATGGAATATCACAGGGTAAGAGATACATTTATT